TGTGCCTGTTTGTTCAATTGTTTCGAGTTTTATAGTAATATTAATAAACATAACATCCATTCTTTTCTTTCCAAGCACTTGGCTTATAACCTTTGTCCTACAATTTTTCACATCATTAGTGCATCTTCACTGGCTTGCTTCTTTTTGCAATAGTGTAAATATACTATCAATTTATCATCAAGTGATATCAGCAGTCTTGATTTGCCTTGTGTCAAATTTATTTAATGTAGTAATTCTCGGATCTTCAGCCATTGTTGTCTTGTGAATTTATTCAACCGGTGGAATTTGCAAAGAAATTTCGGTTTTATAAGATCAGAATTTATTCATGTCCTTATAATGGAGCTACGCGTTGAAGTACCAACCCTGTGCAAATTGCTGTCTTTGAAAATTGAAACCCCACTTTCCTGACTTGGAATGTTATTCCAACTACTTCGTAGATCATCTGGCACGAAAGAGGTCCGTTTGATGATGAGGGTTGGATTTCAATGCATGCAAATGCAGCAGCGAAATGTCAAGTGGCCTCTGGAAGTTGAAGAAGCGGTTCGTGGCGAGAACTCTCCCGTATCATTCGTTGTCTAGACACGAGGAGTCATCGTGAAGTTTGGCTGCTCTTTTGGTTGGAGGGATTTCCATGGTCAACTTCCGATTGGGAAAAAGAGATTAAAAAAACACAAAAAAAGGGAGACGAAACCTGGTTAAGTGACCTGGATAATGCGTGAAAAAGAGTCTATGAAAAACACAGAAAGGGAGACGAGACCTGGATAATGCGTGAAAAAGAGTCTATCCACAGCCAAGGTAGATAGTGTTAATGATACAGCTTTTGATGTGAGGGAGACTTCGCATCGTGGGAAAAACCTGTCTTAGGGAGGAAGATGAGGCCCAGGTTGCTTGTTGGTTCTCGGGGTCTTCCCTGACCTCTCAGGGTGAAGGCCGGTCCCCGGGAAACGATGGGAAAAGGCAGAAAACTTGGTGCCCTTTATCTGAATTGCCTCCGCATTAGCTGCTCAACCGGCGTTGAAGTCGAGTTGAATAAAACCTGGTTATCTCTTGGCAGGTGGTCTTATCAACCAACAATCAATGTATGAAAAATAAGATACTCTTCTCTGTACTTATTCGAAGTGAAAAATAAACACAATTACTTCGTCATGGGATTATTAAGTAAATTATGAAAAAGCACAAACTTTTTTCCCAGAAATATAAATGGATGACAATGCGGTGTTAAAGAGTCGCTAGCGGATGTTATAATTTATAAAAACACGTGAACGGACCATTGCTTTTTTACCTGTTTTTCTACAGACACTCTAAAATGAATTGGTCAGTACAGTAAGAATTTTTGGCAATGGGCATGCGCCTATTCGGGCAAGCAACACAGCAAGTACGTCATTCCAGGCATTCCTTTACAGGATATTCCAAGCAGATAGTTCTTGCTCCACAAAGCTTTATACAAAATTTTGTTCACGGCAAGAGTATATAACAAAACTACGATTCTTTCAGATTGTTGCACAAGTTACAATCAGAATAAAAGATGGATGTTAGGATGATTAAAAGAGTAGATATAGAGGCTGCAAGAAAAGTTACAGCAGATACAATGCCAGCATGTGCCCTTATTCCTGACGGTATTCTCCACACGACATTGTCAGTTCTAGATCCTGTCCTGTCATTGGTTGGCATAAGTAGGCAGCTCTCATGGTCCCCAATTTCTTCCATGCTGCAGCGCAGGAACATTTCAGGTTCACCAAATTCCACTTCTGAATAGCCACTGTCATCAAGGGGCTGCAAGAGATGGACATAATTCAGACAGTTTTCCTACAGCTTTGTGATCGCTCATTTTATTATTGTTGTTGTGATAACACAGCAACGTCCTGTTCTCTTCAACAATTCACTTACAGGATATCGCGCATGCAATGGAAGGTCTACGCTGATTTCCAGTTCACTTATATGTCCCAACAAGGAAGTGGGAGCAACATTCATATGAATCTCAACAGCTGACTGATTCGATAGAACAGAGGGCAATTCCAAATTAGTATCTCCAAAAACAGCCACATCAGTAAATACTGCAGAAGTGGAGTAAATGTACATCAGGCTAGAGAAAAATGCCACTATAGCCCAAATTTCAAAATGAGGTGCACATATATCATTCAATGTAGGAACAATTAAATGCACTACCACCACGCTTGAGCATGTGTTGGAGCTCAAATGGGTCAGCAAAGACTCCTGTTGGCAGTCTCTCAATAATGATAACTTTACAAAAGTGAGCACGTAGCTGAGACATGGAATCTGGCTGCATGTGGAATCTGATAGTTGATGATATATGGCGATGAGAACCTTCACCAATCAAATGACGCCATGGAACTGATACTCTTAAAAGATGATTCAGATTATCTGGCAGCAGCTTGCAGGTATTAAAAAGAAGTTCATCTACTATGAAGTTTTGGAAATTTGGTTCAAGCAAGCTATCATGTTTTTCAAAATAGGATTCCATAATATACTTCCTGAAACCACAATATGAGTTGTTGGAATTGGAACTTGACTCACACCTTGTCTCCTGACAAGCAAGGAAACAAGTTAGACAATAAAATGTTGAAACTGTTACATTCACACCTTGCCTCCTCTGGCAATTAAGGATACAAGTACGACAATAAAATGTTGAAACTTAATTGGATGCATAGTCAAATTGAAAGGCATTCTGAGTTGGTTCCCTGCAATTGCATTTTAATTCTCAGAAACATGTACTATCAAAATGGCAAACGTTTGGATATTGTTACAAGTAGCAATTATAGTAGGCAGGTAGCCAAACTCAAAATAAATGCTGTATGGTCATTAGGGCATGCCATATTGTTGCTTCTTGAAATGCTCACAGCCATCTAGTATGCATCTTTCATTGTAGAAAGTTAATACTTACAAAATGCTACACAAAAGATTATACCGCAGCAGGACATCTATGTGAAACTCAAAGTACAGCACGACGCTTACAAGAGCTATCAAATCATGGACAAGAAATACACACAGTAACAGATATGAAGAAGAAAATCCAAGGCAAAAGGGCTATGGTGTACCCACCTCACTTGAAGATGAAGAACTCTGCAAGAAAAAGCCAAAGCCAACAGAGAATATCAACAGGATCCCCACCTTCTGGTGAGTGCAAAACTTAACATGCTTAGGAGTTGCCATAGAGTACCTGAAACATAGTAAAAAGCACAATAGAAGTCGTAAATATTAAGCATTCAGTTGCAGGATAGATAAGATTCCGATATTTTTTCCAAAGTTAAAAGCAGACTTTCTACTCCTTTAAACACACATACATATTCAGTAAATTTAGGCCATTTACAGACCAATGCCCCTTAACATAATGTTACCAAAAACTCACGACATAACAAATGAAAGGCATAGCATCAGCTCTCATTTTCTACAAGTAAAAAGTATAATACCAATTGCCGTCACACCTTTAGATGATCCACTCTAGAATGATCTTGATGACATAGTAAAAAGTATAATCCCAATTGCCGTCACACCTTCAGATGATCCACTCTAGAATGATCTTGATGATTCATCAAATCAAAACTATTTTAAACAAATTGTCGCATACAGAGTAACAAGCACATTCTCTATGCATCGGCCCTGTATGCAAGTCACCCACACACAAACACAGACATACAAATGTACACATGTAAATACATGCATGTCCTCACCAAAAATATAAGAAGTGTACACATGCATGTCCTCACCAAAAATATAAGAAACATGAACGAGTCAAACAGGGATTTCAAAGATTAGCTCAATTACACACCATATTAGAGCCAAACTGAGTCTTTCAAAGGTTCAGTACAGGAAATGTAGCATTTAGAACGAACAGGGTTTTTTTTTTTTTAAATCATTTTTTCCAATAGAAATCAAACTAGACTTATCCACAGCCAGAAATTAAAATTACTAGTACAGAAAAAACGAAGAGAGCACCTCCATTCTTCAGTCAATGATTCTTGCACCGTTTGCATTGAGATGGTTTTGACTTGTGCAAAAATCATGCACCAATTTCATTGAATTTTATTATCACATAATAAAGATAAATAAACAAAGTGAATATAACTTAACAGATGAAAAAAGAGAGGAAAAAAACAGAATCCGATTCAATAAAGGAAAAAAAGCACTTAAGCCAAATCTAGCTAAAAAACACACACACAGCATTTCTGTAATAACCCTACATCAAAAGAGATAAAAAATGATTCACAGAAAGAGAATGTAAGTCAATGACCGAATCATGAAGAGATTAAGCAAATTGCCTATCTAAAGCTTGTATGTGCACCATTTGAAGACACAGTAAAGAGAAATAGAACTCACCAGAATCAATCTACTGAGATGGAAAATCCTCTTGGAAAAAGAGGATTAAGGCAATTGAGAGAAGAGAGAGAGTAAGAAGTAGAATCTGAAATATCAATCAGTTTTTCTCTCAACGAAATATTTTGAGATGGGATCCACTGCTTTGTTTTTCTGTTTCAAGATGAAGAAAATCAAGTAGATTATTTATGATGACAAAGTAGTGGGCTTGACAGCCCTCTTTTTAAGCTACGATGAAGCCCATAAACAAGTTAAGTTTATTACTTTTTTTTGTTTTGGGGAAGGGAAAAAAACAGTCAACTGCTTTTCTAGCTTCTTCTTCTTCTTTGTTGAACCCCCTCCCTCCCTCTCGGCTTCAAATATTTTTCCCGCTTAGGGAAGTAATAATTTTCTACCAAAGAAGAGATACAGAATGAACAGTACATCATCAGCAAATTCATCAGTATCAACAGCAGCAATTATTTTTTTAGATTAACGTGGGTGTCCGGGCCAGCTTGCGTGCACCATGACTAATTCCACGGGCCCTGAAGTTAACGACCATGTAAGTCTCCAGTGACCATCATATGTACAACCAAAGATTCGAACCTGAGACTACAGAGAAAGCAAACCCCTTAATTCCAAATCTTTATCACTTGGTCACCACTTATATGTTTAACAGCAGCAATTATTGGAGGTGGAGGAGGAAGTGTTAACAATGTTGTTTTGGATGATTTTCATTTCCCTTCTGATTTAATCTCCATTCAAGACCGCAAAGATGAGGCCATGCTTGGTTTGCTTTTTTCTCCTTTTTTTGTTCCATTTGAGAATCTCTTCTTTTGTGAGGTTTAGCCATCTGGGTTGTTATAATATTGCATAGTCTATATGAATTTCGGATTTTTTGGTAGCAGGTTTGGGCATTTGTGTAGGAAAGATTTTATTTTTTTTGGCCATTAAAAAATTGAATATTTTTTGTGGGATTTGGCTTGTTCTTATGGAAATTCGTTACCTGGGGTATTTATATTTCTGCGTTTTCTGCGTTGGCCTGTGGACTTGGTGGCTATTTTTGTGATTGTTTGATACTTCACATTATTTGTTTTCTCGTGTTTAGATTGCTACTATTATCGTTATATATCATATTTATAAAGGCCCCATTACTCTAGGATTCTCTTCGGCATGCTTCACAGATTTTTTATTTTTTCTCTAGTGTTTAGCATACATGGTCTTATTCATAAATTCATTGTCCTGCTAAAGCATACATGTTACTGAGATGTTGGTCTTATTCATAAATTCATTGTCCTGCTGCTAAGAAAATAAGGTACAATGCATGAAATTCATGTTGGACATAAAATTCTGAAGTTTATGTTGCTTGTTACGAAATATTGCCCCTTATATTTATTTACTTTTTTAAGAAACAAATCGAACTCATCGACAGAATTAGTTTATGTTTCACACTTTGATTATTTAAATATAGGACTAAGCCAATTGATTCCATTAGTTTTGGTCTTGTGGAGGATTGAGATTTAATTTCTCGACTTCAAAAGACATAAAGCTTACATCTCTAAATCGATTTCCTTCATCCAGCTGATTTATCCATTTTAATTAGCATGTCTGTTAATTTTCTTTGTTTCTTGGTATACCTCTGTTTTTAGCGGCCCTCTAACCTAACTTGGATATATGAAAATTCAAGGACTTACTTTTTTGCATTTGTTCTTCACCCATTTTGGTTACAAAATAAAACAATAGAGAAATATATTTTGGAACTTTATTGTTTATTCTTCTCTGTTAGCTCTTGTCTGACGAGTTCATCCTGCTAAACATATGGCTTTCTTTCTCTCTAAGCTTCAAGCATTCAATGAATTATGTAGTGGAAGGTTGGCAGGGGCATAGGGCTAGGGGCGAAGAGGGGGGAGTGCCTTCTGTTCTCTCTCTAAAACTGACCTTGGAAAGAAAAAAGGGAGGCCCCGCATCCAATTAGCGAAACACCCATAGTTTTAACTACTATATCTATTATCTGAGTTAATAGCAACACATTGGAGTTATTGCTGTTCATAGAAGTCTTCTTATTCTTCTATTGCAGCGTTAAAAACTGATCTGATGGCTGCACTCAACAAGGAGGTTAAATCATTGGATGACGATAACTGGAAGTTTGAAGTACCTCGTTCTCATATCAACCTCATGTCAAGGCCAGGTTAGTCTTCAATCCACCAATTACCTTTCCTTTCACATCCCACTCCTCCAACTTGTGTAGGATAAATACGAGTCATGCAAAATACTGGCATTTAGTGATTTATGTGACTGCTGTGTTTTTTATTTTAGAACTGCAGCATCACTTCACGTGTCACTGGTATCAGCTGATTCATTGTGGTGGATCTCGTCACATGCCACCGCCATCAGTTTAGGGGTCATCTAAAACATGCTTGAAAGATTAGCAGATAGGTTATTGGGTGGGACACTGGTGTTCTGTGTTCGATTTTCATGTCCCATGATCATAAAATTTCATGTTAACCATCTAGGTGGTAGCCAAGTGGTAAGGACTTGGGATCAAGGGGTTTGCATATAATAGATTTTATCCCTGTAGCTCCCAGTTAAAGACAGAAAAGGAAAAATGGACCGGAGGGAGTAGGAGTTTGTCAAAAAACTCCACACATGGATCCTCTGATTTGTAGACACATACACCAAGTATCATACTTATGTCTCCGTGACTGGTTGCTGCAATTGAATTAGGCATCTTCTTGCTTCTGGAGAACAGTGCCCAGATGAAGTGTTTGTGGGCGGGTCTGTAAACTTTCTGTAGATTAAATAATTAAATCACACCAGCCAGCTTCCCTAATTTAATAATCAGAACAGGGATCACTTATACATGATGGATGCTGGATCAAAAGCCAACCCCTATTATTGCTTCCTCTTATATTCTCCTGCCTGTCCATAATATCCCTGTGCTTTGACATTTTCCCAGGAGCTGACAAGAAATATTGGAACCATTTTTGAAGCTGCAATTCGTCTTTAAACATGTTACAAAATTATGGAACAGATACCGAGGAGTATCTGATCCAAATCAGTATCTCCCTCGTATAACTATCCTTTCTATGCGTTTTTTTTACCCAAATGTTTTTGTGAGATCTTTTTGAATCATGTAGATGAATGTAAACTATGACTCTCGGTCTGTTAGAGGGCTTTGAATCCTGCTTTCTTTGTGAACTGCGGGTCCATTTCCTTGTGATTTCTACCGTGATACCTTGTTTTAGTTTGTTCATTGTTACTTACGGATTTGTTATTTGTCTTCTTTTATGGATCCCAATGCAGGTGAAAAACTAAGCAAGAAGCCGGAAATAGCAACGCATAAAAACCTGGCCTTGCCGAAATGACATGTGATTCCGTGGGCAGGCTGCATCTTGCATTGATTGACTTTTGGTACATATCTTTTACTTCGATGATAAATATTTCTTGTTTTATTCTGGAGCTGCCGATTTTGTGTTGTTTGCCCCGTGTTCTGAAATGCTTCCAAGTAACTCTGTTGTCCATACTACAAATAAATGGAAGGCAACTTGCATTTCTTTATTTTACATTGAAGTCCAAAATGTATGCTCATGGTTGAGTATATATCCCACCAAAATTGCACAGGACTCGAGGGAATAGAACTAATTATAAGATGATTAATTCCATGACTAAAAGAACCAACGCCACGACGGTCTTGCTGGCCTGCCAGTGAATTTTTTTCCTTTGTCCACAGAGACGAGGCCATGCACGGGATGAAGCTTAGACCGCACCAACAGTTTCGTTCCTTTTGATTGAAAATTTTAGGTCTATCGCGCTGAAGTGGTTTTTCGTTCTATGTACAAAACTAAACTTGGTTGAATCAATGCAGCAACCAAACTCGATGCGGCTTCTAAAACACAAACCTTGGACTTGAGGTGGAAAAGGGTTTTGGATGATAGGCCTTGCTTGCCTTAATTTGAAGAGGATGAAATCGGTTGCGCAGGTGAAAATGAAGGTCTTTCTGGGATGTGAGATTTCCGCAGGTAGTATTGGCTTACCCGCTTGCTTCCTTACTGTTCACGTGAATGGAGCCACGCTTCATTATTCACATTATTCACGTGAATAATAGAATATGATTACACTGTTTATAAAATTTCTTTACACAGAAAGCGACAAGTTACTTTTTGTGATTTTGATAAACCTACGGCAGAGCTGATGGATATTACCAGTAAAAAATTATATATTTTTTATAATGCTAAATAATAAACTTTACTTACGGTCACAATACCAAACAACACAATATTTTTTTATAATGCTAAATAATAAAATTTTATGATTATAAATAAACTTTATTTACGGTCACAATACCAAACAACACAATATCAAACAATCATTAAAAGAGGTTGTTTCATAGCATGTTTGAAATTGTTTTTGAATAATTTTTAAAAATGCGTTTAATATGAAAAAAATGTTAAAATTAATGTTTTTTTTACTAGTTTTCAATGGTTTTGATGTAATGATATTACAAATGAAAAAAAATCTGATTTTTATTTTATTTTGGTATGTTTTCAAGGAAAAAATTATTTTCAAAAGTATTTCATATGACTATTTTGAACACACACAAAATCAAAAACCTTGAGACTTGGTAATTTATAGTGTTTTGTTTTATTTTTTTATTGATTTTATTTTTTAATAATGAGATGATTAAGAATTTGACTTTGTAATTTTTTTTTCTTTTCATTTCTACAAGGTTAGAGTGATTTGTAGGTTTGATAGAGGAATTTAGATTGCCTAAGTTTATAGATTCGATGGAGTGTTTTTTTAATTGAACTTAATTTTTTATCATATTTTTTTTCTCTAGTTAAAAAATAGTTTTTGAGAAAATTCATGTTATTAAATTTTATAAAGTTCATGAATATATTCGTAAGTTTAGTTGGTTGACCTGATTTGCGAATCTAGCGAGTTTTTTTATTTTTTTATTTCATCATTAGACATTAGGTTAATTGAAAATCTAGTCTTTTAGATTATTTTACTATATTTTTCATGAGATTATCATGGTCTTAAAATAACATATGGATTTTGGGCTGGTGTTCTATTTTGCGATTGTTTATTTATATTATTATATAGTTAAATTGAAAAATTATTTTTTAAAAAAATTATAATTACATTAGAGTTCATAACTCGGTTCACAGGTTTGATGAGTTTATCTACTGACCAGGCATGTTTTTTTTTTTTGTATTTGATCCTTTAATTGTACTCGGTTCACAGGTTTGATGAGTTTATCTACTGACCAGGCATGTTTTTTTTTTTTGTATTTGATCCTTTAATTGTTTTTAATTTTTGTTGTCTTTCGATATTGGATAAGTTGAGAAATAAAATGTATAAATTATTTTTATTTGTTTTTTATATAGTTATTATTTTCTCAAATAAATGTTTATTTTTAGGTTGGTGGTTATTATTTTCTCAAATAAATATCTATTTTTAGGTTGGTAGCAATTTTATAAATATATATTTTTATTATATAATTAAATAAAAATAATTTATAATTTTTTTTATTAAATTCAATAAAATCAATAACTTGAGTCGTGAGGGGGTCAGGATCGATTTAATTCATCATTATCTTAATATGTTTTTTCAAGTTATTATTTTAAAGTTTTTTTTTAAGATAAACTATATTCTTACTATTTATCATGGTTACATTTGAACCATGAAATCAATAGATTTAAGTTAAGTTACTTTCTCCATGATTTAATTGAAAAGTTAAGCTAAGTAAAAAGTTGAGTTAAGAAATTTTAAAATTAATATGTTAATTTTTTTATAATTTTTTTAAAAAAAATTAATCTAATAATACTATATGAAGCGCGAGAGTTAATAAAATAGTGTCAACTATACGGAGAGTGGTGGATATAGTTGAGGGCGGATATGTTATATCCAGACACGGGGCTTCTCAAAGTAAATGTGCCTACATGCATAGCCTCGTTGACTTTGAAGGGATCCAAAACAAATGAACTCCCGTATGGTTTATGGATCAGTTGGGCCAGTTGATCTTTTAGAAGTCACATCATCCTAGTTGGGCTTCTAAGAAATTATGTCAACTCGCCTCAATTTAATGTTGTGTGAAGTTATTTAATCCTTGCTATTGCAGTTTCATCATATATTTTTAAAGATTTTTTATTTTTTGGATTAATATTTTTAATATATTAATATCAAAAATAAATTTAAAAAATAAAAAATGTTATTTTAATATATTTTTTTTTAAATAACATTTATCACAATTCTAAATAATTTGTTATTGGCGCGTCCAGGGTCAAAAAAGGGGTGAAATCGCTTTCAGGTTCGGGGAGGCCTTTTCTACACCTAACCATCAACTTCGTGGTCAGCACCTTAGGCTTAGGTTATACTTCGAGCCACACAACTTGGGCCATCAGGATTCCATGCACTATAAATCAGCAGTTTCAGTCAATTGTTTTTAACAGGTTTGTCTACTCACATAGACATAGGTATCAGATACCAAGGGCTACCCTAATGAGACCAGCCAGAAACCATGCAATAAACATTAGGAAAAATCTCCTAATATTTTAAGATGGTAACACCTTGTCACCATTTAAAAATTATATTAAAAATCAACAGACACATACGAGTCAACGAAAAAACTAAAAAATATTACACAAATACTATTAAAATTGATTTAATATATAAAACACCCTTATAAATTAAATATTACATATTTACAACTTCTCATAGTCAAAGTATTAATGTAAGTTAAAATTTGATGTTCAAACACTAGACTTCCCCCAAACTTCACAAATTACGATGGAAGCAGTAAAGATGACCACATAAAAAGTTTAAAATAGCCTACAGAGCAGCGAGACCAGGCCACCTAAATTGCCATTAGCACCAGTTCATTTATATGCAACCCAATTGCCATCAGTACCTGCTTGTCTTCATTTTACACCACCTGTACTTTATCCCATGATTATATGTATTTTAGTTAGGAGCAACGACGTATAGAGCACCACCACGAGGTGCTCGATGTACTTGTTTTTGTCTTTCATAATCTATTGCTTCACCACTACTTTGGCCATTTTCCAATAAACTACCCCTCAAATATCTGTAAAGAACAAGAATTGATCAGAATTTGAACGAGATATTAAACAAGCTGATGACCATAGTCCGTAAAGCAATCATTCTACATTTGCCTAAGGGAACTCTTCAACTATGATCTCAACCTAACAGGTCCATATTCTAGTCACTCGTCCCATCAATGTCCCAACTATGAGAAAAAAATACATATAAAATCAACAAATCTGATTTTTAAAATGAGAGCTAATTAAGGGATGCTTGTTATGAAGAGAGAGTAGCAAGGAGAGGAGATGTCCAGGAAGATAGAAGAGATGAATTGAGATAGAGGGTGATTGTTGTGGAGAGAATAGAGGAGAGGGGATGTCAGGGAGAGAGATAAAGAGAGAAAGGAAAGGGAGAGGAGAAAGAAGCAGAAGGAGGAGAGGGGGCAAAAAGAAAAAGTTGAAAAAATCAAGGCATGAGGAGAGGGGGGAAAAAGAAAAAGTTGAAAAAATCAAGGCATATTTAGGTCCTTTCATGAAAAAATGAATAAATTTGAAAAAACGAAGATAAGAGCTTTTCTGTTTAAATTATAGGAGCACCGGCGGTTTTATATATATATATATATATATAGTATTGTTAGAAAGATTTTTACTAGAGAACTCTAATCATATTTTAAAAACTCACTAAATTAACTCCTAAACCACATTGACTTCAAATTAACCCTTAATCAATTATATCCTCGTTTGATGTTATTTCAAGATATAGTTAAAACCGTGTCATCAAAAAAAATTTAATAGCACTGAGTATATAATAAACAAAACTTAATATGTATCTAGTAAACCATTTTTTCTTTCCTTGTTTTTCTCCCCTATCATTGAAGACGATTCTAACATCTTAGAAGACAATCAAATTAATCCTTAAACCACTTTAACCCTAAATTAACCCCTAATTAATTACATTCTTGTTTGATGACTTTGCAGGTGTTGTTAGAATCATATCATTGAAATCTTTCTGATATTTTTTTAACAATATTGAGTATATAAAAAATAAAACATCAATATATCCAAAATGACTCATTTTTTTCCCTACCAGATCAACTTCTTTTTTTTTTTTCTGGTCCTTGGATTTTAAAAAAATTTGGCCAGCTTTTATACATATTAATTAATTTACATAAAATATATATTTTGACTTTTGAATTTTGACTAAACAATCTGGGTACAAATCCAACATTTAAAAACATGGTCGTGATGTAAATATTTTTATGTTATTCTCCTGAAATTTTTATGAAAGTCACCTTTTTTTAAAAAAAAAAAAAATCCGAGTATCAGAGTAATTTTCCCTCGACTTTATCATGCAACGTGCCATTAAGGCCACATCCCACTTTTACCAAGCTTGGGAATAGAGGAGCACCCCTCAGCAATATTACCACAGGAACAGAAGGTGACACGTTACTCTTTCCACGACAATTCACGCCTCCAGTACATGAAAATTATCCAGATTGGCATCAATATGGTTTATATATCCTCATGAAGCTTTCCATCTCCCTAAATAGGCCACAAAGCCTCTGGAAACGTTGTTATTTATGTGATAGGCGAGCAAGTTACAAGCATTCAGTTCAGTAATACAAGGATAAATTGGCCATTTGCTCAACAATTAACCTTTCATCCTTAAACCAAGAGCAGCCTACACTGTATAGTTTGACCTTGTTACATCAGGCAGTTATCTCATTCTCCCTGTTGCTTATCAAATCTCAATTGCATAGGTTTATGGAACTCCCTCCAATAATTAGCTTCCTAACTTCCAGTGAGTCAACCACTCCGCAATCATTTCTCTATAATCAATTCTCTGTTCCAAGATCAGCAGTTCAGCACTCGAAGTCAACGAGTGTGCTTGCTTCTGCGTTCTGATACCAGTCACACTTCCCTACTACTTTTAGATATCGCAAAAGCTCAAGCAAATCAATTTCCAACCATCCCACCCTCCATCGAATTTCTCTAACCGCTCAAGAGTGCTACCTCTAACTAAATCCTGATTTGTTTGGGGTTCCACTGCAACCTATTTTTCATCAAAATTCATATTTTTCTTCTTTAAATTATTTTTTTAGTGTTTTAGAATCTTTTTTATATGCTAATATCAAAAATAAATTTTAAAAAATAAAATAAATTATTTTAATATTTTTCTAAGCTATTGTGCGAACTAATGTACAAGTTTTTCCATCAAAGGTAAAGTAGCCAATGAATAGTCTCCATGGGCAAAAAATAGGAAAATAAAAAAAGGAACCACGAAAGTGAATTACTTTGAAACAAAGGCAGAATTCAGGAATAGGATTTGACATGTGCAAAAGATGGACAATCGGATCTATGGACATAAGGACAACATAATGTTTCTTGAGATCTTGAACCTCTCATAAGATGATAAAGAGAAAAGTTCAAAATAAAAATTTGAAAAAAGAAAACTAAATTTTATGTCTCCATATGTGCAAAAAGAAAGCTAAGCTGAACAGATACCAAAGGCATTGCTTGTTCCAATGCCCAAAGGAGGAGGACCCGCTGAGTTAAAAGTTTAGTAGGTGTTTACCTCATACAGGGTGGGACAAAGGTACATTTCGTGTGATTAAAGCTTCTTGTCTGATGTCAGAAGCTCCATTTGTTCTGTCAGCTGATCCACATGCTGAGCTTTGTCCCACCCGTTTGCATTTGGCTGCACATCATTTCCATTGGTTTTACCCTCTACAGAACTTGATTCAATATCCTCAGGCTCTGGACTCTGCACAAGAAGGTCATCCCAGAAGCTAGAATTATCAAGCAAAGCATCAATATCAGGATCAGGGGACATGTTGTCAATATCTATGGGTATTGTTCCATTAATTCCTAATGAAGCTGGATCTATGAATCCATCATTGCATGTCTCTGGTTCCATATAATCTTCACAAGGGATATCAGCAACATTTTCTGGTACCATTTCAGGCATTTGAGAAACATGGGGCATGATCACGTTTGCCTGGGGAATAGGTATGGAGGTTGCCCCCTGTGCTCCATCCAGCATACTCATATCCGGAAAATGAGAAGCTGTGACCTTTTCAGAACTAGCAATTTGCAGGGAAGATTGTATTTCAGATATTGGAGCTGATGGGCCCTGCCTGGAAATCCCAAAAGCTGCTGGTATATGAGTGGATTGCCCTGAAGTTGGCAGAACCTCTTGGAGAGTCACTCCTGATGTGTGGCTCGAAGGGCTTCCACTGTCTTTTGCACCAAGATTATTGTCATAAGATTCCAACTTAGAAGCATCCATTTTCATAATCTGCCTAAGCATTGCTTGGGCTGCCTCGTTCATCAGAGGCTGATACTTCACAATCTGCCCATCATGAGAACCAGAACCCTCATTCTCAGGAACATCCTCCTGCTTGAGCCTGCGTTTTTTATTGGCTTCCATTATGCGCCTATTGTTGTCATTTTGCTGCTGTACAAACTGAGCCAAGAAGCCTGGGCTGTTCATCGCCTTGGCCAGGAATGACATCATCTGTTGCTGACGCTGCTCCATTCCTTGAAGTCGCTGTACCATGGTTTGCAACTGGCTATCCGTGGACTGTTGCTGCTGCCTCAACCTAACAAGTTCTTGCATAAGGACATTCTTGTCCCTCTTAAGCCTCTCCACCTCTTCCTCGAGCCCAAATTTCCCAACCTCAACACAGGCGGCTACCGATGAGTTCTGCCCAGGTGGTTGTTGTGGCTGCTGATTAGCATGCCCGTGGGCAGATTTTCGCCGACTGATAATCCTAAGTAGGTGCTTCTGACCCCTCAAAAATCCTTCATTGGCAAATTCCCAACGGTCTGGATCCACCTTTCGAAAACCCTGTTTGAGAATAGAGAACAATATACAGAAAGATTAAGAGCTTAGGCTTGGTTTTCCAAACAGTAAACATTACTGGAGGATAACAAGCAGTGATTAGTTCTCCTTCAGGTAAAATCAATGGGTAGTTTTGGTATTGTCACAGAAGGGGAGCACTCCTCTTAGCTTTTCACAAATAATACAAAACATTTAACTTCAAGGAAAGCGATTTTATATTACACATGGCAGATTACTAAGGTAAATGAGCATAGAAGTTTTCCATGGCTGCCTAGAAGTGTTGATCGCTTCTTGGCTTACCAAGGGTAGGGATGCAGTTATTGTTAGTGCCAAAGGTTTGAGGGAGATGAAGTGGCCACAAGAGGCAAGATGAGCATATTTAGAAAGGAAGGTTGCTTCCGATAGATCATAAGCAAAATCTCCTTGAAATGTTTCTTGGAGTTTGTCAAGGATAGCATAATGTAGACAGTAAGCTTGCAATACCAGGTTTTTTTGTGAAGTCAAAATGATACTTGATACTTCATCATAAATAATTCATATCCTAGTCAAACATCATATCAACCGAAAAACATTTCTCTAATTATTAAAAAATGGTTATTGGATGGGCGCTCTACCTAAGAACACAGTTACAAATACAAACCGTTAGTAGCATCAGATCTTTATTTATTGAGAGAGAATTCGGTTATATTTCTTTTATTTTGATTTGCCTTTCCCATCCATGACTTGGTAGACAATAACTGGGAAATGATCTTGCACATGAGCACAAATGTTCAAACAATAACTGGGAAGTCGATACCTATAGCGCCATAGCAAACCGTGACAATAGCAAACGATACTAGCCATTACAATTATACAATGAAATCCACACTTAACTCAATAGATTGTCACTCAATAGCAAACAGGCATCATGCCATTTCACAAACACTAGCTCGTGGTAAAGACCTTTCAGCTATGATTGGGAGTTCGATGACCCCTTGCTTTCTGAGAAAGCCAACTGCATTTCCGTTTGATTTAAAAGAAGCACATAATTTCCTTGAGGCAGTATTGAAGGTGAAAGGATAAGCTCTTGTCGAGTTCCTTCCACATAAAGCTAGAATTAAAGCAAGAAAACTACAACAGAAATGCAGAAAAATCCAAAAAGAAAAGAAATTAAAGAAATAAGAAAAGTGAAATCCATACGTAAGTGTTCAGTTGCCTAACAAAGCTGGAGAAATTATTATGCTTGAAATACTTCGGCAAAAGATCGCGAGCGAACTCCGGCGGATTCCAAACCACAAAACTGTTATTCGTCGAACTCCAAGACACCACCGCGTCTGTCGCCGGATCGTCTACCATGTCGTAAGTCTTACTTAGAAATGGCGGCGGCGCATTCGACTGTGACGCCATCGGCACCGACGCCGCTTGTGCCCCACCGCCGCTGATCGAGGAGTGGCCACCGCTTGCAGAGTTGATTGTTCCATCCATCAGAGTAGCGAATAATAAAGGAAATGTTTATTGATCGGAACTTTTTAGGGTTTTGGAAGAGCAGGCATTCGTGAGAGCAAAAAAGCTAGATTGAAGGAGAGGAGAGAGAACGAATCGAGATTGTATAGGGAGGAAGGAGAAGGGGGTAAAGAGGAGACAGGTGGTTGTTGTTGTACGGTCACGGGAAATGAAATGAAGAGTGGGATTCTATTAAAGGCAGACGCGACGGAGGGAAACAGGCCTGTTGCCATTTTGCCTCTTCCCTTTTTTTCTGGAGGTGATGATAGCAGTTGAAATTACTGGTTGACTCCTGCTTTCTTTTTCTTCAAAAGAAATTGTGAGGCTGTTTTTCCCCCCTATTTCTTTAAATAAATATATATTTAAATGGTATTTAGTACGAGGTTAAAAATATGAAAGAATTATTATAGAGTAATTATCATAATAATAATTTTTTAAAGTGTTTGATTTTTAAGAATGCTTAGCTTGAGTTAAATGTTAGATAAGAGAGATAGATTAATTTAATAGTTAGTAATAATTTATTATGGATAATTAAAAATTAATTTGAGGCAATCATCACCCTCTAATCATTCACTCTTAAAAAATAAAAGATAAAAATAAAAGAAAGTTCAAATTTTATTAAAGTAAAAATCAACCCTTTTAACTTTCAAAACATAACCCTAATTATTTTGATTTAAGGTAAATATATCTGACAAAAATATTTTTTTAGCATTTATTTTTTATAATAAATATTTGAATTTTTCATTTTAAATAAACATCTTGTCTTGTTCGCCCCTTCAAATTACCATGCACCTATGCTTCCAAGAGGCAAGAGGAACGAAGCTAAAATGCCAAACAGAGCTCACTTTAAAAAAGTCCACAAATCATTATAGATTTCTTTCTTGTCTAATAATCATGAAATATTTTTATTTATTATTGTTATTATCACAAGCAAAAAGTGCTTAGTTGGGACGGGAATGTTGAGATGCGGGTTTCAGTCGGTGTTTTTATTCGTAAAACAACACGATAAGCCCGACTTATTGAGAATTTGAGATGGAACATACTGGCATTTATTTTTTCTAAATCATACGGACCCCTGAATTGCTTATCAAATTTGAATTAGTACCTGTACTAAAAATGTTATTTTAATTGCTTATCAAATTTGAATTAGTCCTCCTATTGTATTTCGTTTATTTTCTCCAAACTAGATTTCGGTAAATCACTTTTTAAATTTTTTTTATAGTTATTTGTTGTTAAAAAATTAATCAATGTAAAATACTTTCTGATAAAAAAATATTTGACTTTATTTCTAAAAAAGTGTTTTCTTTATTTTGAACAAAAAACACTTTTTGAAAGTTATGAAAAAATTAAAAACTTAATCAATGTAAAATATTGATAAAAAAATATTTGACTTTATTTTTAAAAAAATGTTTTTTTTTATTTTGAATAAAAAACACTTTTTAAAAGTTGTGAAAAATTTAAAAATATTATATTATTTACTACTTATATTAAATTTAGTTTTCAAACTTTTGATTTATATATATATATATGTATTATTTTGAATATTTTTTTTCAATTTTATTCATTATAATTTAATTTTTATATTAATTTTGATTTTTATTTTTATAATTGTTATTTACTTCTTTTTTTTATTTTTTTATTGAAATTTTTTAACTATAAAATTTGGTCATCATTTATTTGATTATTATTTATTTTATTTAAAATAATTTATGAAATTTTAATTATTATTATTTTAATTTCTTCATCTTTGGTTTTTCTAGCCCTGACGCTGTCAAAATCATATCATCCTACCCATGGAGTTTGAAGTGTAGTTTAGAAAGAAAATTACTCTGTTAATTCGTTCCCGGCCTTCTATTATGATTTCACATGTGGAGAATTTTAAAAAGCTTATACAGAAAGTGACTCTCGCATCCTTCCAAGAGTCATGTTACTTATGTTACGTGTATGGACATAAATAGACGGTGATAACTATGATTGGTGGCAATCATGGTTGAAGTTATAGTCAAATGGTGGGTGCCTAATTTGTCCATCATTATTGAACAATTGTCTCCCTCCTCAGCTATAAATAGAGGGTGCACTGATAGCTGAGATAGACCACGAGATAAAGAGCAACACAAAGAGAGAGCAAAGGGTGAGAGTTGAGTTGAGTTGAGAAGTTTTCTCCTCCTCCTTATTTTGTTATTTGTATTGTTTTTGAGCTTGATTAATACAAATCAGTAGCTCCGTGGAGTAGACAAATTACTGAACCACATAAATTTATGTATGTTTGAATGTTTGGATAAACCTAACAGCTGATGTCCATAAGCAGATCCAGTAGGGAAAAGAAGCTCGAAGTGTATAGGAAATGGGTTTTGTCTCAAGAAGAAATCCTCACAGCATTTGTAAAGTTTCCAATGTTTATGGGCATATCTACAGAGAAGATCACGACATTGATGGATCTACCCAGATATTGAGATTTTACGAGAAAAAGTTGAATCTTTCTTCAGCCGTAAACTCTTTTATATTTTAATTCATAATCACTCTACATATCCATTTGTTTTCTCGATTTGCAAAGATTGAATACGCTTTGTTTTTTAACATAAAATTTGAGAATTTATGGTTAGGATTTGGATTAAAAAATCAGGAATGAGTGCAGAGCATAGCATCTTATGAGAGTACTGGGAAAGATAAATAAAATGCAGGTATCTCGTTGTTTCCAGAGTAGAAAAATGAGAGAAATCAATTAAAGAAAAATTAGTGAAGGGGTTGGAATTGCAAGATACGATGGTGGCGGGTTAGACAATGTTGGTGGCTGGTTCTTTTCATGGTGGAGAGAGAGGAGAGAGAAAGATGCCGTGATTGGAGGTGAGGTGGTGGTGGTTCGGTGCCGGATTCTGACGTGACGTTTGATTGTTTATGCCTTTAGATAGAACCATGCTAGGGATAAAGGTTTTTTTTTTTTTCTGGTGTTGCTGAGTTTTTGCATGATAAATAGTAATACTTTTATTATCCAAATTGCGTTAGCCATAAAATCGATAGAGAAACTATTTTTTATATATTATATATATAAAGGTAGTATAGATTTTTTTTGTCTGAATTAAGAAATTATATTCAACCAGGATATAAACTATAATGTTTTTAAAAATAAGAAAAAATAAATAAGTTACAAGAGGATTTTTTTAAAATAAAATTATCCCATTTATTTTTTATCAATTGTCGAAAAGTGGTAATGGAATCCTTTTGTATCCACAAGGCTATTATGAATGGGCCAAGGCCTAAGCTGGAAGTCCATATGTGTAGTAGCATTCGGGCTTTTGCAGTCCATGTTTCATAACTGAAAACTGAAAAACTACACCGGAAAAAAACCTCTTCTAACTGGCGAGAAAGAAGAGAAAAATGAGCTCCTCGGCGACAGAGGCGGATGCTTTGCTAACTCAACAGCGTCCGAGCATTGTCGAGGGTCTCTCTCACCGTCCGATGGAATCGTTATCAGGTCCACTACAACACTTCTCTTTCTCTTTTGATTTTATTTTCATAAAAAAAAACTCTAGGGTGTGATGTAACCAGTACCACACTCCAGCACGTCACAGTCCGACCCATTCTTTTTCCATAAAATGAAAAAATAAATAAGTTTCAAGAGATTTTTTTAAAAAAAAATATCCCATTTATTTTTTTATCAATTGTCGAAAAGTGGTAATGGAATCCTTTTGTATCCACAAGGCTATTATGAATGGGCCAAGGCCTAAGCTGGAAGTCCATATGTGTAGTAGTATTCGGGCTTTTGCAATCCATGTTTCATAACTGAAAACTGAAAAAGTACACCGAAAAAAACCTCTTCTAATTGGCGGGAAAGAAGAGAAAAATGAGCTCCTCGGCGATAGAGGCGGATGCTTTGCTAACTCAACAGCGTCCGAGCATTGTCGAGGCTCTCTCTCACCGTCCGATGGAATGGTTATCAGGTCCACCACAACACTTCTCTTTCTCTTTTGATCTTATTTTCATAAAAAAAACTCTAGGGTGTAATAGTACCCCACTCCAACACGTCACAGTCCGACCCATTCTTTTTCCATTTATCACTGTTATCACGATCAGGACGCAGTAGTTAATTTATCGGAACACAGCATCGTTTTGATCGTTGAAGAAACCTGCTGTCTCCAAGCCAAATTTTATCTTCAAAAGGAGTTGATCATGATTTCTAACTCACAACTGACTTCTAACTTGCTCTGTTTGGTTGCTGGGTTCATAGGGGACGTGAAGGAAATAATCTAGTAGCAGTGATTATATGGCATAGTATCCTACTTTGACTAAATGAGTCCTCGAATTAACTTGGTGTCTAACCCTGACTTAATAATTTGTTGTCGTGGAGAATCTTGGGATGGAGAAGAGGATTGAAGTTTCTGGATTTTAGAGTTTCTAGATTTGGGGGATTATCCTGATTGTTGTTTTCAATTACTTCTTGACAACCAAACAAATTATGAATTACTTTTAGAACAAAAGCCTTAACATTTAATTGACGCACTGATTATCTGGATATTATGGGTGAAATGCAGGTGAAGGAGATTGAAGAGTCATAGATTGTGATCCCATGAAACCTAAGATCTTCCTTCCTTTCACAATTTTTTCATGGTTGAAAAAATAACTCCAGTCATCAAAAGCAAGAGTATGTTTTGTTAGGTTGGAGGGTTTTTCACTGTGAATTTAAAGTCCCTAACACACAAGAGGCTCTCCTGTTTATTTGGTAAAAGTTATCATAAGTTGTTAATTTACGCAGGGATCCAAGTAATTTATGCATCTGGATTTAGTATCAGCCGAGATTCTGCTGTAACCTATATCTCTATCTATATCACAGGCCTGCAGAGTGACTAGATGGCTGCATCTATGCGGGAATCAAGACTAGGATCTCAGATACAATTTCTTGGGACTGCAACTTTGAACCTGCAGGAAGCACACTGCTTAGCTTCACAATCAAGTATTCTATTCTCTAAGCCACTAATGCATGCAAGTGCCATGGAAAACAGAAAGATGTGGCAAAACTTGCTTGAATCATGCATGCTTCTTTTACCTGATAGCTTATTCTCTCACTAATTGTCTGGAGATTTGGTATTGCGGTGGGAGGACCACTGCATTATCAAACAAGCATTTGTTCTATATAATTGCTCGGTGGAATTGATTTTTCTTGCAAAACAAGACCGGTAATTCTAGGTTAATTGTCAAGTAAAGAGCAAAAAAAATAAAAAAAATTAAGTATATCTACCCTTCTTGTGTATTATTTCGGCAAAAAATACCAAGAAATTCTATCCCATTAATTTTGAGAAACGAGACATAAAAAAATAAA